AAAGCTCTAGGTCTATAGCTGTCAACTGTTCAAACTGTGATCACCAGTTCAATACATTTGACAAATTCGACTTGGTTTCTATACTTATTTGAACATGTATTTATTTATTTTTCAAAATTAAAATATTTCTTTTTTTTTGTAATTTTTTTCCCACATTTTTTTTTTTTTTATAGGATAGGCTATGTACATTTCGGTTAATCGGTTAACCGTTTTTTTGGGGGTCGAATATTCGAATATACATTTGCTTTCAAATTCCCATCCCTATCCACAACCATTCATAGGAGTCCAAATGCAAAGCCTGAACGATGACAAGAGCGACAGACTTACATTTTACAAGATAAGTAATACCAGAGCAGTGTGTACATAGACATAATCCCCTGACAGACTCACACACTTTGGTGATGTCCTCATTTAATAATGATGTTTAATTTTTTAGCAGCAAAGTAACATTACTCAAAGTATATGTCGGACCCAACTCATGTACAGTATGTTTTGCATCTCCTCAACAATGGTCAGTTTAAAGTAGATTAACAAACATTTGTAAGAAAAGTTTACAATGCACAAAGCCCCTCTTTGTATTAAGCGAGCTGCCACAGAAAGTACAGCTTAACATGCTAACCTTTGGTAGAGTTAGCTAACGTTAGCTAACTTCATGTCCAACACAAAACCTCTAACGTGCATTACATTGACGATTTTTAACAAAACTTAACTCTCTCAACTTGTAAAATAACGTTAATTTAACTTACCCTTAAATAACTACATCACATTTTTCAGGGGCAACACAAACTGCAGAAAACGTTAGCTGCTAACTGTTGTTAGCTAAGACAGCTAGCTCTAACTCAGCCGGACAGAGAAACCCTGGCTTGAGTTACCGAGTTGATAACCAGCGTCGTAGGACCGCGAGCGCGTTTGTTTTGGCTTAGGTAAACCAGCTAAACTAACTCAAACATATCCAGGGTATGTTGAACTGGATTCGTAGTACAGGCCTCGGGTCACCTTCCTGATAATTTATTTGTCATTTCCTTTCTATAACCTTTTATTTAAAAAACAATGGCATTGCACTGTAACTGTTCCTTTCTGCTTTCAACTAGTGCATGCTTTATACTTTATTTAGGAGGTATTTAAAAGTATCTATAACTGCACTGCAATACTAATTGTGTAGGCTACAGGCAAACATAAATTCCATTCAAAGTACAGAATCACAAAAATAAACGTTATCAAATCTAAAACACACTTCCCAGGGTGCTTTTAGCCTAGCTTTTAAAACATTTTAATTGAAAGTATGCAACGGTTTCTCTGACCACCATAATTCACTATAATACACTTATTCACTGTAACTAGGTACACTTTCAGTGAAAATGTTTTTTGTTCTAGGGTTAACAACATGTGTTACCTGCTTTGCTGCAAACCAACCACAAGGGGGCATTAGTGTAACATCATGATATAATTACATTGAGATTTGCAATTGAAATACAACCTTTAGGCTTTATTTGTTGATTAAATGGAAGATGGACACTTATAACAGGACAACAAATTAGGGGATACAATTTAGGGAAATGTTGGAGACTTTTGTAACACATGACATCTCAAGATAATATAGTTTCTGTGCACATAAACAGCTCGAATTCTGTATGTTTGGAAGTCTAGTAAAAGTTTGAAGACTAAATGACAAACACATTTAATTCCCAGCTTCAGAAAGGTGTATCTCTAATGCACATACATTCTGCAGTACTGTTCAGAATGTCCCTGATTATGATTATCACTGTTTTGCTTACTCAATTTCCATAAAGTATAGATAGTTTCTGCCAGACAACACAGGCCACATGATTTGAATAGGGAACTATTTGGTGTTACGGTTTATCTGGGAACACGCACACCCATTTCCACTGTCATGAGCGTGGTTTTGTTATCTGAAGGAAGTTGTCCAGCAGCCTGAGCAACAACAGGCCTGAAGTGGCCCAGGCACAGCAGTCTTTTGGAGCTGAATGCTCAAATTAGCAAGCTAAAAACATTTGAGCAGTCAGTAGGATTTATCCTCTGAGGACCATGAATGACAATATTTCATAGAAATATTTTAAAAAGATGTTGAGATCTCAGACAAGCAAAATAGAAAGTCTGCATTAATGCGTATTATATATATAATACTGTGCATTATAACTCATAATAAACCTGCAAAGGGTTCAAAAGAGAAAAAGGCCTTTGCTAATAGCATCATAAGCCTAGTATGAACTGCTGTATTCAAGCATCTTACGCCTGTGTCATTGTGTCAGTCATGTGATCCAGGAACTCAAATAAAAAAGGTTTATACATCACATTTTATGCCACAATATAACCCAGAGTGATTTTGGAATATTGTCAACAAGGGTCTTTGTCTTAAAAAAAATGCATGGGGTATAAAGAGTACAGTTTTGGAATTTAATTAAGTACATTTGCTCTGTACTGTGTTTAGGTACCTTAAAAGTAACTACAGTTTGTACATGGTTATTTCCATGTAATGCTTTATACTTCTAATCTGCAGAGAATAATGTTGTCCTTTTAACTCCACTTCATTTGTCTGAATGCTTGAGTTACTTTGAAGATTACAATATTTCTTCCCCTTCCTGTCGAGACAAAAACCATCTTGAAATTTGGTGAATGTTTCTGAATTTACCAACAATTAAGTGTTTTCCATGTTGAGAAAATGTTCCTCATTCTTAAGCTAAATATGTTTTTGAAAACCTCTTGGATCAGCAAAGATAAAATCAGGGCTGTCTTTCTGAGAAACTCATGAATACGAAATAATTTTCACCCCGAAGGAAAGTTGTTAGAGATTCTAGACATGGTAAACAATTAAAAGGGCATCTAAATATTTACACATGACTTGCGTACATATACACAGTTTGCATATGTAGGGAGGTAATTTGTTATTCAAATTTATTTTGAAAAGATATATGGTTCTCACAGCACAGTGACACAAATTCTACAAAGATATGATGACATATTGTAAAATTTGAAATACTTTTGTGTCATGAGTCAAATAATGTAGATGTATCTAAACAATGTATAGTAACACAATATAATAACACATGTTCACCAAATTGCTTGCATGGGAATTAGCTTTTTAAGACAGGACAACAGTTTTATTGTCATTGAGCTGTCCCAGACTTTTTTCTATCGTGGTTTTATGACATAATGATGAGACGTTTAGTTTCAGTAGGAAAAACCCATCAGCTCTCTTGTTATGGTGAGTTCCTCAAAAACTGTGATTAGGTAGAAAAAAAAGAATATGGCATGTTTACACAGTTCATATCTTATATCCATCTATTAGATAACAGAGAGATAATGGCGAAAGCTTTCGTCAACTTCTTCTCATTTGGAAGTTATAGAAGAATAATCAAAAAACAACAAAATACCTCACATTGATACCAGTTTTCTCGCTGAAGATTAAAACTTTAAATTCAATTAAAAAAACTGTATAATTGTTAAAAAAGACTGGAATCTAATCCCTGTTGCCATGTTAGACAGGTGATTTATTGAAATTTTGGATACCATTTTTGCTTAATTTAGTAAGCTCTTCGCAATTATTTACCACAAGATTAACGATATCATAGCTATCAGCCTCTAGTTAGAAAACAACATTTGTGAGTTATCTACACTGAATATCTGAATATTATGCATGGTTTGACAAATAACACATGTATTCTTCCACATAACAGTGTCCTATTTAAGCTCAATACAGTCCCAGTATCTGACACCGGTGCAGCAGCTCTAGTTTCATGTCCTGTTTGAAAGTCATTTCACAGGTTTCACGTTTTCTAGTTTCAGGGATGACACCCATCACCCCTTTTGTTATGTGTTTTGGTGAGATTTTAGAAAACAGATTCCAATTCAACCAGTCAAACCTGAACTTGCCTGAAAAAGTCTGTTGACGTAAATAAAGTTTCCGAAACCTCATTTCAAAAACACAAATGCTTTTTTCTTATTTCATTCAACAGTCTAGCTATGGATCCAAACCAAAAATGGTATGTCAATGTCAGGAAATAATAGGCCTAAAAAAGATAATAATAAAAAAAATACACTCATTTTTTATTTCTGCATAAACAAAGTATTTTACTCAAGTACTGTATAGGTAAAATGTGGGTGTAATTGTATACTCGTATTAATTTCCTGGTTCTTTATAATTTTCTACTTCAACACATCGCAGTGGTTAATATTGAACTTGTTACTTTAAGTAATCATACTCAAATTAATAATACAAAATGTATAATTAATCACGTATCATTACAGATTCACATAACTGATCCTTTGTGGAAATTCACAAGATACCTGACAGTATATGCAGTATAGTAAACCTACCTAGATACATGCTGAATTAAATAAATACAAGTATAGATACATATGGAAATAGAAAAGAAAATAAATAAATAAATATACAGTATACACACATATAATTGCTAAAATGAATACTGAAATAAATACAATTATAAATAAATATATGCAAATATGCAGGACAGAACATTAAATAAGTATAAACAAATATGTAAATTAATACAGAAGTAAAACAATAAATACAGAACTAAATGTCTAAATGAATACATACAGAAATAAATGAATAAATACATAAAAAAAAGGAGAAATAAATGTTGAAATAAAAACAGAAATAGAAAAAAATGAAATAAATAAACAAAAGAATAAACGTATGTGGAAATATAGGAGAAAGAAAATGATATTACTGTAAATGAATGCATAGCCAACATTTTGTTATTTAAACATAAAACAAACCACATTTAATACATAGAAAAATACCGGTATAGTTTAAGTGCTTTTTCCCCCTTTGATACTGTGATAGGCTACTGTAGAGTTAGCAAAACAAACATTGTTACATTTTAATGCACGAAATGTAATAGGAGGTTTTCCCACCATCCACTATTCAAATCTGGCTGATTTACATGTCCTCTCGTGTTACACAACCATAGGTAGGACAATGATTCGTTGAGCAGCAGCTCACTCCCCCCCCCGTCGGCTGGGTAGTACACGTCAGCAGTGAATGAAGTTGTACCCAAGATGTATCATGTCCTATCATCCTCTTCCTGGTGTGAGCGTGTTGACACATTACACCTAGTTTGGGTAAGTTAAATGGAGCTAACGCTACTTAGCTTCTACTTTGACGCCGACTTTAAAAACACAACATATACATAACGCTTTGTTCTACTTTTCTACAGGTGGTAAAAACAAGCGACTGCTCTGGCAAATGGCTCGGTTTTGAAGAGGAAATACAGTCATGCGAGAAGAAAAGCAGCCGTCATAAAACGTTTGACATTTAGTTAAAGACACGCATCGTTGGACAGTAATAATAAGAGTTTCTCCGCACGAGGAAAACTGTCGCGAGGAAGTTTACAATGAAGGCGCTCGCGATAAGGTGAATCCAAGCCATTTCTGTTGAAGTCCAAAGTCTGTTTTTACTTTAAGAAAATGAGGTTTCGGGTGCTCAAAAAGAATCTGCTCGCGCTGCTGGGTGTTTCCTTTGTCGTTGTGACTCTGCTTATTTCCACACGTGTGTTATTAGTCAACGATAATGACACAACTGGACCTAATAACGTCGAGCCGGGACACCAGGGAATGCATTCTGGTGACGCGGTAAAGTTTAAGTTTGGCTCGCCTACAGAGTTGACTCAGTCCGTTTACAGTGCCAATTACAAGCAGTGTGTTCACAACGCGGATACGTTTCCAGGGGAGCCTCTGCTGGTGCTGGTAGTTCAGGTCCACAACAGGCCTGAATACCTCAGACTGTTCATCAAGTCACTGGAGAAAGCTGCTGAGGTCCACAGCTTCCTCCTTATTTTTAGCCATGACTACTTTTCAGAGGAAATAAACGCCATTGTGCAAGGGATAACTTTCTGCAAAGTACTGCAGATTTATTTCCCCTTCAGCACTCAGCTGTATCCCAGCGAGTTTCCTGGGAAGGATCCAAGGGACTGCCCTCGAGACATATCCAAGGACAACGCTCGCAAAACAGGATGCCTCAACGCAGAACACCCTGACTCCTATGGACACTACAGGGAGGCCTTCATCACTCAGACTAAACACCACTGGTGGTGGAAACTGCACTTCGTGTGGGAGCGAGTGCCGGCCCTGCAGGGCTACAGCGGCTTTGTGATCTTCCTGGAGGAGGATAACTACATCCTACCTGACTTTTTCCACTACTATAAATCAATGGTGGAATTCAGGAAAAGCAGCTGCCCCGATTGTGACATGCTAGCCTTGGGTAACCACAATGGCCTTACTGATTTCAACAGACTGTCCAATAAGGTGTTGACCACTGGGTGGATGTCCACTAAACACAACATAGGCATGGCCATCTCCAGAGATGTGTACTACAAACTGATGGGCTGCCACGAGGAATACTGCACCTACGACGACTACAACTGGGACTGGACTCTGCAGCACCTCTCGGGAACCTGCATATCAAAGCCCATCAAGGTGCTGGTGGCACATGGCTCCAGGGTCCTCCACACAGGAGACTGTGGCCTTCACAAGAAGGAGAACTGCAGGCCAGAATGGGCCACACAGAAGGTGGAGGAGAGCCTTAAAACGGCCAAGGAGGGTCTCTTTCCTCAATCTCTCGTCCTTCAGGGTGCAGAGGCAGTAGAGCACAAGACACACATGAAGAACGGAGGATGGGGAGACGTTCGGGACCATATTCTATGCAAGAACTACGCCAAACGTCTTTGAACTGTAACTTTTCTTGGGTAAAATGTTATTTGGTATTCTGCAGACGTGCCATTCATACATAACTTTTCAGGGTTTCGGAGGCTGCACTGGGTTGTGTTTTCACTTGGAGTGTTCTCTATTTACAGCAAGGTCTTTCACGGAAATTGGACCAAATCAAGTCCAAAAATGCTGCATGTACACAGCTAGCTTTAACTCTTTTTTTTAATCACCAAAGCTGCACAGTTGCCAAAGATTTTGTTGATATTTGTGTTGTTTTAAATGCAAGCTCGGCTCAATTTCATTTCACCAGGTTTGTTATACTCTGGGTGCCTTACAATCCAAAACATTAGATTTATTGCACAGTGCTGGGTATATCTATATCAGAACTTATTTGCTACTGTGTTGCATTCATGAATCATTTATAAGCATTTTACATGTGCCTTTACGGTACGGGTTTTAAGTGCGACAATAAAAAAGGCACGTGTAATGTACTGTACAGACTCAATCAAATGTGTATGACAATCTTACATATGATGGGGAACTCGTTTATACAACTGTCTTCTTAAAGTTGAATGAGAACATTATTTCATGCACATAATGGTATCTGTGTTACTGAATGTAACCTTCACTGTAACCAGGGGGCTTTTTTTGAGGAGAGGTCAGCTGACACCACTTACTTACTCAGTCTCCCACTCCCCACTGCATTGACCCCTGGCTACAAAAAGAGAGCTTGATTGAAATTGATTTTTTTCCTTCTTCTGTTGTGACTGTATATTTGCTTTCTGATAGGTGAAAGCGACCTTTTGGAGTCTTGTTCAAGGTCTGTCTTCCTGCAAACACGAGTCATCTGGGATTCAGCATTTTCTATATTTGCACCTTTGTTAGAGTTTATTTTGGGATCCTTACATTGGGACCTTATGACAAGGTGTTGCTGTTCCTTTTCATTCAGCTGTTAGGGACATTTAAAAACACATTCACACTAAAGTAACCTTTCTTTACAGTAGAAAACTGAGAAAATTAACTAAATATATTGATGCTATTATAGCCTTAAAGCTGACCAAAAGTGCCTTTGATTGTTACTTTGTGCCTAAACTTGTTTTAAAAGAGATTTTTAATGGTGCACTGCTAACATTGTTGTTCACATTATGCGCCTGTCAGTGCTAGGGACTTGTAGTTCACCTCATAAATATATATATTTTTGGTATTGTCTTTCTTCATGAGATGTTGAGGGAAAAGTGAATGGTAATGTCACAAAAATCTTCATTGTAAAATTATGTTAAATAATTGCATCGCTGTGCCCTTTTGCTCGCAAAAGGTGACAGTGGCTCCACTCAGAGTGGTTTAATCTGATATTGGTGCATGTCAGCGTCCCTAATGGAGATTCCTGGTAAATGAATATGAAGTGAATGTGATAATGAAATAGATAAATCTTATGTTATGTTGAAAAGCACAATGCATTCTTAAGGAACATGTCAAAGATAGCCTTATACACAAAGATGTACTATGTAAAAATGACTCGTATGTTTGTATGTGTGTGGGATGTGTAATGATTCTTTAGTTTGTTGAGAGTGAGTTTTTTTTGCTTGTTTTCTTTTCTTTCTGAGTATCACTTGAAATAGCTGTTTGTGGTTCACCTAATGTTTGCCAAATGAGGAAAAAAATAAAAGGCAGAATTTTCAATGTTTGTCTCTTCATGGAAAACTATGCACACTTTATTTTAAAGCCCACCTTTTTTGAAATACTATAACTTTAATGAAACATAATTATTGTGGAGGTTTGTTTAAAATGTGTACACTTTCACTAGATTCCAGCAACCTGGAGATTTAAGATATTGAAAATAAAGTGAAATTGGTTCCCAAACAAAACAGAATATGGATGTAAATGTTATCAGTCATCCATTTTTAGCAGTCACTCAACAGAACGGCTGCATATTTAACACAACAAACTCAACCTAAATAACTAACACCTTTTAATTAGTAGTAAAATAGCTATCTACAGGAATTATTTGAGGACATAATGAGGAAATTACTGGAAATAAAAGCAGATAACGTGTTATAACTATTCACAGAATAACGTTGTGATCTGATAGGTGACACATTAGTCATGTAAGGAGGTTTGTTCTACTAATCCTGAACAAAAGAGAAGCTGATCTGACTTCTGTGGTATTTTCCGAACACACCTCACATGACTAAACGGCGGGATTCGATTGGTCAGCGTCTTCTCCGTGTTTATTTCCGGAAGTAAGTTGTTGTCAGTGTCAGACTTTCCACTAGGATTATCAAATCTCACATTTACAGCACCAGAACGTCAGGTAAGCAGCGAAACGGATACCTTATTTTACCGAATACAGTTCATTAATTTAACCGTATAATAAGTCAGTTGTCACATCGATTCAGTTATTATTTTGTACATTTCCAGATGTAGCCACTGCCAGCCGTTAGCTGTTGCTCTCCGTAGCTTACGTAATGGACTTTTGTCTACACATAATTGTTGAAAACACGATTTATAATAGCCCCAAGTAACCACAGAGGGTTAGAATCCATTTGTTAAACTTGGGAAGGGGGGATATAGCCTCGTGAGGGTGCTAACACGGCCCAGCGAGTCGTAGCGACGGTAAAATTACGTTAGCTAAGATGACACATGAGCTAGCTAATGCTGCCCACTTAAACACCAGTCTATAATATGTAAACTAGTTGTTAGGCCATTTATTTTAATGTATAAAACGTGTATTAATACCAGAAATACAACACATTCATTCACTGTTTGTCACCCTGTATTTTTCAAGGTGTGTCCTCATCCACAGGATGGCACATTGGTTTCACAGGAACCCCCTGAAGGCAACAGCGCCTGTGTCCTTTAATTTCTATGGAGTGGCAGGAAGCCCCTCTGCCAATAAGATATGCAAGTACGTCTTATCTCTATCTATTACACTGGTTAAGGTGTTATGAAGTTGGACTGACTGTGACCATGAACACTTACTGAATTGTTTTTGTCTATCCTCTCTTATGACGATGTAATGATGACCTATGTTGTGCTCCTGTTACTGTCATTTGATCACATTTTGCCTTAAAAGGGTGCAAAAGGTGTTGGATATAATCACTCATAATACAGGAATGATCATGATTTTTAGAGCATCAATTGAATGCCATTTGTTTGACACACACAGTGACCTGCGGACTAACAGGGCAAGACTGCTGGAGATGTTCACTGATGTCACCTGCAACCCTGAGATCATGAAAAATGCCACAGATGCATACTTCTCCCTCCTCCAAGGTAATATGCAACCCAATCTTTGTTTCATCTTTGTCTTGTAAGGGTGTTTATCTCCTTATATCGGAGGGGTTTGGTCAATCAGTCCAAACGAAATATTCAGTCAAACGTTGTTTAAACCTACAGAAGTGTATTCAATCCTGCTAGAGATCCCCAAATTAGCCAAAATAGCAATTGTGAATTGTGATTTTTGAAGAAATATGCATAACATTATGTTATAAGATCTTAATTATTTCCATTTGATTGAATGGTAAAGCTTTAAAACATTCTCAACAGTCTCATTAAACATTCCTTTCAAAAAGATTCGGAAAGAGAAATGTGTTAATACTCCACATTTGATGGTTGATACCAAGCGTTTCATTGCCTAAAAAACAATTGCATACTTGTAATGTATTGTTAATGTTGTTATTCATATTTCTCTCCTTTTCCTTTCTAACAATGCATTCTGCAATTCTAACAATTGTTACTAGGTGTTGCCTAGCACATAACCAACAGCTTCTTGTTTTTTTAAATATTGGTTTATAATACAATAGGCTTTATCACAGCCCTGGATGGAACAACACAGGAGAACAAGATGAGATTCATTCAGAACTTCAGGTGGACTGACACCTTACAAGGAAACACACCAAGGTATGAACACTGATTGAATACTTCCATTCTCATTGGATGGAAGCATTCTTTTTAGTGTGTATGGTTGCAATTCAAAGAAAAAAGCTTTAAAAACATATGAAGACTACACAGCATTTTGAATCATAGCATTATTGACTTGTGTGATTATAGCAGTGTGAGTAACCACCGTGTCCATGCTCTCCTCCCAGTGCCCAGCAGGATGCAGTCTTTGAACTGGTCTCCATGGCCTTCAATGTAGCCCTGTGGTACACCAAGTTTGCCTCGAGACTAGCAGGGAAAGAAAAGTATGTACTTTTTTTGACTGTATTTATTTATGTTAAATCCGTTGTCTACCCTATATTTTTTATAACTTTCTGACTGCTAACTTTTGTTTTGCGATCTTGTTTTCCTGTTCAATAGCGTGACAGAGGCTGAAGCGAAAGATGTTCACCGGAGCCTGAAAGTTGCTGCTGGCATATTCAAAACTCTCAAGGTAAGCAGCTGCAAACAAGTCAGGCCTTTCTAACCTTTTATAGAGCCATTCAGTCCTACTCTTTGTATTTGTTCATGGCCATTATTTCTATGGTATATTTCTATGGTATATACTTAAGCCTTTGAAAAAACATAATTTGCTTTGATTACTTTCTGTTAATTCAGAGACCAAAGCGTATATCCAGAGAATTCCTGACAGTGAAGTACATTTTATTTAAATCCTCTTTAGTGACGCCAAAATGTTCATTTGCTAACACCCCATTAGTATAATGAGAGGTTTTCAAACTGTAAGGTGGGCGTCTATGCGGTTGAAGCATGTAATGACAATGAGAATCACATGTCAGAACTTGCCTGAGAAAAATCACTTAAAAAAATCACTGACTTTTGCTTTAAGTAGAAGTAAACAGGAACAGATGAAAGCTGATTTGCCCAATTTCCAATGGTGCCAATCTACTTATGTCAACAGATACATACATAACGTTTTAGCCAACACGCACTCCGTGGTTATATGGGATCCCCTTTTTTTAAATATAACTTTTAGCCAACAGCTTATTAGCCGACTTCATGCCAACCTAAGTTAGTAGGGGAATATATGTGGGTATCGGGGGGTGACAGTGTCAGACTTTGAAAACCCCCAGTTTAAAATGAGCATAACGTTTTTGCCACAGACCCTTTGCAAAAACAAAGGAATGCATGATATTGACTTGCTGATTTTTAAATCCACAAATTCTCGGGCATTTTTGCTACAGGAGGTCCACATCCCTCGTCTCATCACCCCGGCTGAAAAGGGCAGAGACCTGGAGCCCAGAGCGATGGATGCATACATCATCCAGTGTCAAGCAGAGGCACAAGAAGGTACAGAAGCCCCTAGAAATCTGCACTAGCAACTATAGTACTTGTACTCTTTAGCCCTGACAGCAGATACTCAGGCAATGATGAACAATACATCGTAATGACTCCTTGTCACATCCGAGATTTATTCATTTTCAATTTATTTCCTTTTTCATAGTGACAATTGCCAGAGCAATTGAACTGAAGCACAACGCAACACTCATCGCAGCGCTGGCATTTGAGACAGCAAACTTTTATCAAAAAGCTGGTATGTATTTTGGCATTACATGGGTTTACAGTTCTCAGGTACAGTTATGGTAACTTTTAAAAAAACAATCTAAGCTAGGGAAAGCCTGTAAAAGTGAAAGAGAAGGGGCCCTAAGATGGAGCCTTGATGAACACAACTTATCATATGTGTCTGCTTAGAAGTGTAATTAGCTGTAGAAACAAAGTAAAGGTTATTTTATGAAGACAAATGCACATAGCCAAGCTTCACATAGGCTTACGTTACGACAAATTGACGGACGCTGATGCGCGCATGGCAAACTGGCAACTCAATCATGCTAATATCAAAACATTAAAAAAAAAAGTTGCCCTTAACAGGCTATTAAAGGTAATTATCTCTGTCCGCAGACCACACGTTGAACACCTTGGAGCCAGAATGCAGTGGCAAATGGAGGAAGTATTTTGAGCTGAAGCAGCACTTCTACATGGCTTATGTAAGTTCATGCTTATCCTGATTCACTTCACCGTACTTTTAGGCACAATAGACTTAGTCCGTGTACGTGCCTTCTATGATACTGTTCTTTACAAAGACAGGAAACAAATTGACTTTTTTTATTGAAATGTTATACTCATTACTTGTGTTTGCAGGCTTATTGCTATAATGGGCAGACGCTGCTGGCGAGTGACAAGTGCGGTGAGGCTATAAGATCCCTCCAGGAGGCAGAAAAGTGTACGTATATCTTTGACTAGCGTTCCACCTTAAAAATGTTTTTAACCACATACTATATACATGTGTTAAAGTAAACTAAGTAACAAGCATTATAATTAGATAGCACCCTTAAACATTATTATATACAAGAATTAAAAAAAGTAATGGAACAACACAAGTATTACAGAGGCCAATTGCACAATTCATTTATCACCTCATCCATAAACATTTAGTAAGTAATTATGCTTCAAGCTCTTTTTATTTTTGTCAAAATTTTTTCCGTTTATCTAATACACTCATTATGTCTTCTTACTAAAGGCACATTATTTAGATAAGGTTAATGTTACATACACACACAGTGTTTTTCCATTATGCACAGTGTATGTATGATATTAATGTGTAGTTGTGAGAAAATGGAGGCAAACAACTTCTATCTTTGACAACACAAGGTGTGTATCGTTTATTTACACAGCTAAAAACACAAGAAACTTTAATCCCAACATTGCACGTTACCATAGTAACACTCTGACACTGTCAACTTTTGCGTCATATTATGAGTCATATAAGATGATTGATGGTGTTTAACCACAGATAATGCTGAATTAATTCCTAAGAGTCTGCTACAAATGCATGTTTTGTTAATTTGTCTTAGTAACATGTAGTTTAAGCATAGTTTTTTTTTAGGTCATTACACTATTATTCCTGTGTTTTGTTTTGTCCATGTACTTTTGGACATAAAATAAGTAGTCATAGATTTGTATTTCTTGCTTCCATTATATTACATTACATTTCATTTAGCTGACACTTTTATCCAAATTGACTTACAATAAGCGTATTTAAAGTGGCCCTATCGTGCACATTTTAGCTTCATATCAGTATTTGGTGTCTCTACTGTGACATGTCTCCATGCTTTAATGTTCAAAAAGCATTATTTTTCTCATACTGCCTGTGCTGCAGAACCTCTTTTCACCCTCTGTCTGAAACCAGAGCCCAGTCTGCTCTGATTGGTTAGCTGGCCCGCTCTGTTGTGATTCGTCAACCGCTTAGAGATGTCCAGCCCCTTACCGTACAATGTGTTGTAGCGCTAGTCAATAGAAGCACACGTGTGATGTCACTATGTTACAGAAGTAAACAAAGGAGTCCAATGGAGGCAGTTCTGGCATTTTAGCCTCTAACACACTACAGGAAAGGGAAAACCACAAAAAACTTAAAAGGGCCTCTTACACCATATAGGTAAAATATGTTATTATTAGCCAAGGTGCAGTTGAAACAGGTGGGTTTTCAGTCAGTTCTGGATTTTGTTGTATTAACATGACCCCTCCCTGTTCAGGTTACTCCCGTGCTGAGGCGCTGTGCAAAGAGTACCGTCAGACCAAAGGGCCGGGCTCCACGGCCAAACCATCAGAGCAGCTGTTCTTCCTCAAACTGGGCGGCCTCATCAAAAACACTCTGGAGAAGTGCCAGAGAGAAAATGGCTTCATGTGAGTCAGTCAGGGCACAAAGACTCACTCACTGTACATACACTGTTGTTCCTACGAGAAAAACATCCAAAAACGCATGCGTAACTAAATGAGATACAGTAAAACTAAAATACTTTAGATTACTGAATAACAATCCATTAAAGAAATCTTACATTTTAATCAAGTTTCATTCAGCTGACCCTTTTTCTATATTTTTTACTTTTAATTTTAACCAAATGAAGGATTTTAGTCTTTAAATATCTGTATTTTTATGGGGAAACTGTTAACTTCAGCTAAACATAATACAACTCTTCTTTAACTTGAAACTGCTTTAATTAGTGTTTGTAAAGGTTGTGGTAGTTCTGGAGAGGAGGAGATTTCTTTTGATAATTCTGTTCCTGGTAAAAAACCTCCTTAAAGGTGCACAAGGGAATACACAGGCAGAATGACTGAAGACAACTCCCATGATCCAATGCCCAAAACTCCAGAGACAGAAAGTCACTTACTGTACTTTTTAAATCTATTCTTAAACACTACAATTGTCTTGGCCTTTTTTGTGAGCAACTTTTTTCAAGCCATTTTCCCTAGATTGTACAAACATACAGATTGAAATTATACAAATGTTAATAAAGAAAAAATAAATAAGGCTACTTTCCCACTTCCACTCTAATCATATATTGTATAAGTTAATCTATTCACACATTTTAACATAGCAATGTATCATTGTGCTTTAAAGGTGGGGTAGGTAATTTTGGAGAAACCAGCTCGAGTGCGCTAGAATTTGAAAATACACAACCGGAAAAAATCTGCCACTTCCTTACAGAGCCCCTCCTCCAACACACACGAACGCGCACATGACCAATGAGGGCACGAGATAAGTTTGTGCACAGATGGAAGGCTGACATCCAGTTACTTTAGCCGGGCCGGCTAAAATGATTGGTCGTGCTTTTTACAGTACTACGGCTTCCACAGATGACATTTTTGTATGGATTTTTTGTCAAAGCACTTAAGATATTCATTGCTATCGGGATGTTAAGAGCATTCCATGGAATATAACAAAAAGTGTATCTCGAGCTGGTTTCTCAAACTTACATACCCCACCTTTAAGTTGATTATGAGCCCTCTCTTATGATTGAAAAGCCTCTACTGATTTTCCTTTATCATTGTTACAGATGTGATTGACAGTTCTGAGACTAATACATAATAAACGAAAGATTACCTATTGATTAATAAATAGTATATATCTGGGAATCGATTGTGTGATAGTAATTTTCTTAGGCTGCATTCAAACTGGCAAAAGCACCTTTTTCTGATGGTTCTGAATTTTGACTTTTGACATTTTTCCTCAGATACTTCCACAAGGTCCCGGCCGAGGCCCCCGACCTGGAGTTGAAGGCCAGTTACGGCCTGGCTGAGCCAATCGCCTTCGAGCTGCCGCCTCTCAGCGAGCAGTGCACTCCTGAAGTCTACGCCACCTTCGACCTGACCAAGGGAGCCAAAAATGACAAGGTACCGCGGCAAGACTGCATCACAGCTTCCGCAAACATAACAAAATAAATACAATTTATCAGTTTTTGTTTACATTTGTGTTACCGTTTTTCTTTCTCCAGGCGAAACCCAAGGAGGCGGAGGTGAAGCCGGTGAAGGAGCCGGACCTGAAGCCTCAGAAGGACACCGGATGCGTCATCTCATAAACTTTCCACACTTTCTATTTTCAGCCTCATGCTTTAATACCATCTATTGTAATGATGGCATCCATATTTCTAACCTCCATAGGAAAAATGTATTTTTTTGTTATAGAAATCCATGGTAGTTTACATATAGGCTAAAACATCTGTATTATATATTTGACAGCCCATTATCCTTGCGTCTAAGCCAGAGACATTCATCAAGTAACATTTAAATCAATATTTCAGGTTATTAGTAGCAATTACATCTTCTAGTAAAACAAACGTACAAAAAGGCCTTATAATTTATAGCAGTCCTATAAATGGTGCCTTTGGCTGTGGGGCAATTTCAACCTCTTATAAAAGTGTCTGTTTTTATTTTTAAAGGGGCCCTACACCCCCCCCCCCCCCCCCCCCCCCGCCTGAAACGCCTTCATTGGACTCCTTTGTCTACTTCCGTAACATAATGACATCACTAAGTAACACTCGCTGTTCTATTGGCTAGCGCTCCAACACATTGTACGTGATACAAGCACAGGCAGTATGAGAAAAATAAAGAGCTTTTTGAACATTAAAGCATGGAGACATCTCACAGGAGAGGCAAATACAAATATGAAAAACCTTTTTTTTTTTTGCATAGTACCATGCACATTTTTGGTCCTTGATTGCTCTGGCCTGATTATAGGAAATAAAGACAAAAGGAAATAGATTTAAACTAAATATACAGTACTGGCATCTAAAAATATATGTTGTAAAGTTCTCACTACAGAATATGATGCAGCCAGCTGGATGTTGGAAATGTCATTCCCACAATCAGAAAACTCACAGAATTGAAACGGGGTCAGACAATATGAACAAACCTGCATTGCTGATACATTTTTTTTTGCTGTTTACAATCAATACTTTTAGATCACATGACGTATGTACTGTAGTTCTTTTTGTACATGATAACTGTTTTTTTGTACTTCTATTCATTTAGGAAATTACTCAATGAGGCTGGATGATTACTTCACATGCTTAGGGATATACATCCTGATAATAGTAGTTCTTAATTTATTTCCGTTGTTATGTAATGATATTTTAGCTGAAAACACTTATACAATCACATGTAGCTCAAATCATATGTTTTGGTGATTTCTATGTTTCAGTGGGCGCTCCGGCTGAAACATACTGTGACATAAAAGCTGTTGTCAATCGTTGACACATGTATGTTCTGTACATTTATTGAGTATTTCCCCCTTCCTTAAAGACAGTGATGGGAGCGTGAGCATGACCACACACGAACATCAGTGTCTAACATTTGCTCCAACTTGTCAAAAGTCTCCCATGGTTAAGGCATAACTATTAATCGCTGAATAAACTGTATCATACTGCCCACATGTATGCCCCCAGAAAAGGAGACAAGTATCCTCACTGATCCATATTTATATATTATATACGTGGAGCAGCACAGAAATCAGACCAGTGCTTTATTCTTTTCCAGGCAACTGTGTGTTAAAGGGTGTTGGGAATACTATTACAATGTACGCTTCTTCTCATTCATGTAAAATGTATTTCTGACAGTATTACATCATCCATAACACTCCACATGCTTATACTGTACATGTACACGATTCATCCTAGCTATTAAAAGGAGAAAGGACCCACCCTGTGTTATCTTGAGTTTGTGAAGGATAAAAAAACAGAAGATCTGATTAACAAAATGTCCTGAGTGATGTCATCAGGTTTATCTCAACTTGGGCTTTGAGAGTGGAGGTGTGACAAAGCTACTTTACACACTAAATGTATACCCTATGCACCACATACTAAAGTATTTATACACTGTTAACAGTAAATATACAATATAATCAGTACAATTTGAAGTACGGTAAATCATATACTTTCTATGTCGTAGTACAACGTTTGAGTGTTGAATGTTACTGCCAGTTATATTTCAAAGCATAATGTGTTTCTGAGGATTTCCACATTTCTGCTTTGCTGACGCGTAAATTAAATACATTTTAGTAAAAATCTGACAACACCTTATGCATCAGGCTGAGTTCAAGGATAACATCCAAAACAATTTGACACAAATGTACGACTTTATTTAAAGGATTCAAAGGCTTTTTTTGTCATATGCAGAATAACTACAGCGTAGTTTTGGCAATGACAATGTCAAGTCCCAGGTTCCTCCACAATGCAGCATACAATATATGCAAACAGAATGTCAAATTAAATACTGAACGGTAGATTAAATAATCTATGATATATATAATACAGTGTCAAGTAGTACAATTAGAAGATTTATAACATGAGGATATGAACCGGCTTGGAGAGTAACAGAATACACAACGGGATTATGTAATAGGGATAAATAAATAAAAAAGTGTATCCCCTTACAGTTAAGAATAATAATACAACAAAATATGTTAGCAGATTACTGGTACATTTAGAAAAAGAAAAATGGGGATTACAATGTAACACTTCATTTTAAAATAAAGAACGATATATTACGAAGCCCATGCGCACACAGTAAAACACACATTCAATATTGAGGTTATCCAAATGTAACAGAAAGGTTACAGCTTATTGTCGTGAGAGTTACTGATTAAAACAAGTAACTGTAACGGAACACACTTTTAAGCCCAACTCTGGATCTTTTTAGGCCACCTAAAGGACAATATTTAAAGCATTAAGGTATCAGGACATTCTACACAGCGTAACAAGCCCAACCCCTTCAGCTTGAGAATGAAACTGATTGCATTACAGACGGCTGTGATAAGGTTTGCTCTGCTGTGTTTGTCCTCTCAGGTGTCAAGAGTCTCGTTGTAATTCTCCACAAAGCAGAGTGAGCGGTCCAGCTGAGACATGAGGAATAACTGACTGCATTGGAGTGAAAGAAAGACTAATGAAGAATGACCAGCAACCAGGAAGTAAGTGTTGTAATAATGGAGCAAGACAAACAGAGATGTTATTGTAAGTTGTGCTCAAGGACAGCAGCGTTAACTTTTAACAGCTCAGTGACTGTAGTTAATCTTTACTCAGGGTGTAGACTGTATGTAAAAGAACCTATGAATTGAGAACATGCTGAACACATAATGTGACAATGTGTAAACACAAACAAAAGCTTCTGTTAAACCTGTTCAATCTGTCAGTCATCTGCGGACATACAGGAAATAGAGTTTGGGAGTCCTGCCCTTTCCAAACAGAGGAGGATCATCTACTTCTCTAGCGGTGAGACCATGGAGGAGGAAGACAGCGAGGAGGAAGAGGAGGAAGAGGAGCGGTCATCAGACAGGCCTCCCTTCAGAGAGCCTGCAGAGAAGGTGGGACACTGTTTACAGCATTAATGACACGTTTACCGACGGCTCAGTTATAGGCTGTGCAACCACTCAAAGCGCTTTATGACAACACAGGTCAGCATTCAAACATCCACACACACTCACACACAAGGCCGGATTAGTACCTCCAGGGGCCCCTGGGCACTGAGCACTCATGGCCCCCCCCCAACCCACGTACCAACAAGTAACACCACGCCTACCCAATCCTACCAACATGACCAATATTTAGAATTTTCAGTCAATCTGGCATGTCAAATCGCACACCTATTTTTCAAAAGCAGCCACATAGTTCAACCAAAGTAGGTCTAGCCTTTTGCCCTTTCAGTCAAAAATCACAAGACAAAGATTCAATGGATAAGATCTCAAGACAGTGTATGGCTCAAGAAGACCTAGGTAATATCACTCAAAACCTCAGAGCAGCACCCCACTTAATGCCAAAATATGACTGGCTGGCTGTACAAGTACACATTATATTAGTCACAAACATTGAGAGTTACAAAAGTACAATATGTAGTGAAATTGTGTGGTTGCTCAAGGGTGGGGCTGTGATTCGGCTATACACCGCCGCCGCGTAGTAATAAAGTTGAGTGCATACATAGTGAGACCTACAGTACAGAGACGGTTTAGAAAATATATTAATTTGACCCTATAGAAAAGCTGTGTTATTTATGGTGAAGATTGAGTGTCATTTAAAACCATGTATGATGAGTGAGGTTGTAGCAAACAAAACACACATTAGCAACTTGCTAATGAGGCACATCCCATAACGCTCAAACACTATTCAGAGACATAGAGATACACCAACACACTGCACACACACACACACACACACACACACACACACACACACACACACACACACACACACACACACACACACACACACACACACACACACACACACACACACACACACACACACACGCACACACACACACACACACACACACACACACACACCATGGCACGTAACACCAAGCAATATTTGTGTTCTGTGGTACTTGACGTTACAAAAAAAAGAAGACAAAAGACATTAGTAAACATGAACCTCCTAAACCCAGGAATTAGAATGCTAAAGCTTTCATTTGCCATCTTATCAAGTATAACGTTTGGCACTGCTCTGTATGTAATGAATTGTAAAAAGTGATACAGATAACACTGAGAACCACAAGGGAAACCTTTTTAGTACATGGGGACATTTAGTCTCTCAGAACTGTTAACAATACAATAGAAAATGCTGAATTAGGTATAAGAAGAAACTGGCTCCTCGAAATTAGCAGACTTTGTACTTGATGACATCACAAGTCTGAGACGTACTTCTCTGGATTTGACTTTGAGAGAGAGTAGCTCATGTTTCTTAAGCCAAGGAAACAACATATTGATCCACAGCTGTCACTTATGGATGTTGATAAAGGGACACTTAAAACATAATGTTTATATGTTATTGCTATGGTATAAGGACCTTTAAACATCAGGGACAGGGAAATGCAAATACTGGCCTGCCAATATTAAACCTCTAGGGCTTTTATTGTGAAAGGTCAGAAGGAAGGAGTTGATCTAGCCATCATTTGCTGTTTGAAGTTCAAATACACGGTCATTATTCCAGGAGAAAATTATGTCTATTTTAGCAAATTCATATTTGTGTTACGTGTGAAACTTGACGTAAAACAAAGCAAAAAAAAAAAACCTCCTGGGGTGTAAGGACGTCAAAAAATATGAGTTGATCAAATGTTCTTGGGCCATTGAAATAACATATTGTAATTGTTATAAAGGTGATGTTCCCCTTCAGGTATGAGTCATGTTACTCATTCTCTTCTGTCTCCTCTCTCAGTCTAGGCTGTCGTTCAGGAATGTGGCTCTTCTGGTTGGGAGGATTTCCCTGCTGAGTACGTATTTAATAATTAAATACATTCATAGCATACAATATAAACAATAGGTCCAATTTTTGCTTTGGAAAAGGTCTCACTATGTTGTTGTTGTTGCCAAAATTAGCTTGTGATTTCCTTGGAGAGAGACTGGCCGGGGCCCTCGGACTGAAAGCAGCCAAATACCAGTACGCCATCGACCAACATCACCGAGACCACAAGGTAGAGTCAGATTAAAGAACAACATACTTTCCTAACAAATTTACTTTGCCACTTTTGGAAAAAACACTGAAGGCCGAAACACCTTTTTAATGCACTGCTCGGTTTTTGGATCCATAACATGTGGAACAAGTGGAAAGAAAATCCAAAATACACATTTAGGTGTTCATTTTAACAACCTATTTGTGTCATTTCACATTTCAATGAACTCACCAAAAAGCTATAGATAAATAGCATATTATAACATCACATTTCAGAAGAACTTGTACTACAACAAATAATTAAGATAAAACAGACCTGACGTCTATGAGTTCAACTTTTTTCCCCTCTTTACAGCGATTTTATAAAAAGGAGTTTTTCCTCATACTCACTTACAAACACTACACTAATATTTGATATTCCTTTCTATTTAGCCTTTACCAAATATTGTCGTTTTGATATTGCAACAGTCACTATTGTGATTTCGATAAAAGTCTGATTAATTGTGCAGCACTATTATAAACTTCTTCTTCAGTAACACTGTAGTTTTTCAGGGCAGGACATGTGTGTTAATATTACACTGACAGGCCTATGGATGGTTATTTCTCTGTTTCTCACCCACTGCTCTTCTTCCTGTATCTCACTCACAGACAAAAAGCAGCGGGGCGTCAGAGGACCTGATGGAGGGAGGGGGGGAGAAGATCTGCCTCTCCACGGGACCGGAGGGGAGTTATTACGGAGCTGCGGGAGAGGAGCGATGCCCGGCTGGTTCTCAGGAGAGATGTGATCAGAAACAAGAGGACACGAGAGAAGGGTGTTACAACAGAGCATATCAAGCAGAGGAGCTTCAACTGAAATAAAACTAAGAAGGGAAAAGCAGAGGGATGATTTGATGTGAAAGCCTTTGTTTAGAGTGCACTGTGTATCAACTAATATAGCCCATAATATAGTATGGACCGCAGACAGATTTTGTAATGTTATAACAAAAACATATGGGAAAAAATAACGTGGTGCAAGCTTTCAATTTTGTTATGTAATAACCAAAAAATAATTAGTTGGTATACCAAAGAGAACGTTTTTAAATGTACTTTGTTACGTTCCACCACTGGCTATTTACAACAAGTGGATAGAAAACATCTAAAATACACATTTTGTTGCTGATTTTATTAAGATTGCCATTTTTGTAAGTATTGTCCTTTTGTGTTTAAGTGTTATACTCAGGGGGTTTGTCTTGTAAATACCCAAAATAATTTGACAACCTTATTTTTAAGGCACAACAGCTGGTATACCAAAGTGAAACCCAATGCTACGGTGGAAGAAGAACTTCCTTTTTTCCTGAAGTAAAATTACCAATACTAAATTGTAAACATTAAAGTAAAATTCCTGCATTCAAAATCTTGATTGAGTAAAATGTCATAAGTAGTAGCATCAGCGTATACTTAAAGTACCACAAGTAAAAGTACTTATTGTGCTTAATAGCCCCTTTCAGAATCATGTAATAAATGACTGTCAGAGATGCACTAATGTGTTCATCACAGCTAGTAAATGTGGAGCAAAACTTAATAACATGATATACTGCTGCTGGATAACATATCATAGTTTATTTACATTTTGAGAGAGCTAACATTCGAAATAAAGTAACTTAGGCGGTCAGATGAATGTACTGGAGTGGAAGTATGAAGTAGCATATCATAAAAATACTGAAGTTAAGTACTTGAGTAAAGTTACACAGCTGTGATGGACTAATTGTCTTTTATTTTTAAACAGAAGGAGGTTCCCCGATCTCTCTCCACTCTTTTTTTGTCAGTTTTCTGCTATTTGTCTATTGAATAATAAAAGAAAAGAAAACTAATCAGTGGCTAGCCAGCTCAGTGTGAGTAAACCCTTTAAGGTCTCTTCAATTTGATTTCGTTTTAGAAAACGTTTATGACCTTTACATATCCACAAACACTTAGCGTGTTAAAGGTGACAAAAATAAAACATCCGACGAGGATGGGATTCGAACCCACGCGTGCAGAGCACAATGGATTATATGCAAACAGAATGTCAAATTAAATACTGAACGGTAGATTAAATAATCTATGATATATATAATACAGTGTCAAGTAGTACAATTAGAAGATGTATAACATGAGGATATGAACCGGCTTGGAGAGTAACAGAATACACAACGGGATTATGTAATAGGGATAAATAAATAAAAAAGTGTATCCCCTTACAGTTAAGAATAATAATACAACAAAATATGTTAGCAGATTACTGGTACATTTAGAAAAAAAAAAATGGGGATTACAATGTAACACTTCATTTTAAAATAAAGAACGATATATTACGAAGCCCATGCGCACACAGTAAAACACACATTCAATATTGAGGTTATCCAAATGTAACAGAAAGGTTACAGTTTATTGTCGTGAGAGTTACTGATTAAAACAAGTAACTGTAACGGAACACACTTTTAAGCCCAACTCTGGATCTTTTTAGGCCACCTAAAGGACAATATTTAAAGCATTAAGGTATCAGGACATTCTACACAGCGTAACAAGCCCAACCCCTTCAGCTTGAGAATGAAACTGATTGCATTACAGACGGCTGTGATAAGGTTTGCTCTGCTGTGTTTGTCCTCTCAGGTGTCAAGAGTCTCGTTGTAATTCTCCACAAAGCAGAGTGAGCGGTCCAGCTGAGACATGAGGAATAACTGACTGCATTGGAGTGAAAGAAAGACTAATGAAGAATGACCAGCAACCAGGAAGTAAGTGTTGTAATAATGGAGCAAGACAAACAGAGATGTTATTGTAAGTTGTGCTCAAGGAGAGCAGCGTTAACTTTTAACAGCTCAGTGACTGTAGTTAATCTTTACTCAGGGTGTAGACTGTATGTAAAAGAACCTATGAATTGAGAACATGCTGAACACATAATGTGACAATGTGTAAACGCAAACAAAAGCTTCTGTTAAACCTGTTCAATCTGTCAGTCATCTGCGGACATATAGGAAATAGAGTTTGGGAGTCCTGCCCTTTCCAAACAGAGGAGGATCATCTACTTCTCCAGCGGTGAGACCATGGAGGAGGAAGACAGCGAGGAGGAAGAGGAGGAAGAGGAGGAAGAGGAGCGGTCATCAGACAGGCCTCCCTTCAGAGAGCCTGCAGAGAAGGTGGGACACTGTTTACAGCATTAATGACACGTTTACCGACGGCTCAGTTATAGGCTGTGCAACCACTCAAAGCGCTTTATGACAACACAGGTCAGCATTCAAACATCCACACACACTCACACACAAGGCCGGATTAGTACCTCCAGGGGCCCCTGGGCACTGAGCACTCATGGCCCCCCCCCCAACCCACGTACCAACAAGTAACACCACGCCTACCCAATCCTACCAACATGACCAATATTTAGAATTTTCAGTCAATCTGGCATGTCAAATCGCACACCTATTTTTCAAAAGCAGCCACATAGTTCAACCAAAGTAGGTCTAGCCTTTTGCCCTTTCAGTCAAAAATCACAAGACAAAGATTCAATGGATAAGATCTCAAGACAGTGTATGGCTCAAGAAGACCTAGGTAATATCACTCAAAACCTCAGAGCAGCACCCCACTTAATGCCAAAATATGACTGGCTGGCTGTACAAGTACACATTATATTAGTCACAAACATTGAGAGTTACAAAAGTACAATATGTAGTGAAATTGTGTGGTTGCTCAAGGGTGGGGCTGTGATTCGGCTATACACCGCCGCCGCGTAGTAATAAAGTTGAGTGCATACATAGTGAGACCTACAGTACAGAGACGGTTTAGAAAATATATTAATTTGACCCTATAGAAAAGCTGTGTTATTTATGGTGAAGATTGAGTGTCATTTAAAACCATGTATGATGAGTGAGGTTGTAGCAAACAAAACACACATTAGCAACTTGCTAATGAGGCACATCCTTTATATATACAGTCTATGGGCACATCCCATAACGCTCAAACACTATTCAGAGACATAGAGATACACCAACACACTGCACACACACACACACACACACACACACACACACACACACACACACACACACACACACACACACACACACACACACACACACACACACACACACACACACACACACACACACACACACACACACACACACACCATGGCACGTAACACCAAGCAATATTTGTGTTCTGTGGTACTTGACGTTACAAAAAAAAGAAGACAAAAGACATTAGTAAACATGAACCTCCTAAACCCAGGAATTAGAATGCTAAAGCTTTCATTTGCCATCTTATCAAGTATAACGTTTGGCACTGCTCTGTATGTAATGAATTGTAAAAAGTGATACAGATAACACTGAGAACCACAAGGGAAACCTTTTTAGTACATGGGGACATTTAGTCTCTCAGAACTGTTAACAATACAATAGAAAATGCTGAATTAGGTATAAGAAGAAACTGGCTCCTCGAAATTAGCAGACTTTGTACTTGATGACATCACAAGTCTGAGACGTACTTCTCTGGATTTGACTTTGAGAGAGAGTAGCTCATGTTTCTTAAGCCAAGGAAACAACATATTGATCCACAGCTGTCACTTATGGATGTTGATAAAGGGACACTTAAAACATAATGTTTATATGTTATTGCTATGGTATAAGGACCTTTAAACATCAGGGACAGGGAAATGCAAATACTGGCCTGCCAATATTAAACCTCTAGGGCTTTTATTGTGAAAGGTCAGAAGGAAGGAGTTGATCTAGCCATCATTTGCTGTTTGAAGTTCAAATACACGGTCATTATACCAGGAGAAAATTATGTCTATTTTAGCAAATTCATATTTGTGTTACGTGTGAAACTTGACGTAAAACAAAGCAAAAAAAACAAACCTCCTGGGGTGTAAGGACGTCAAATAATATGAGTTGATCAAATGTTCTTGGGCCATTGAAATAACATATTGTAATTGTTATAAAGTTGATGTTCCCCTTCAGGTATGAGTCATGTTACTCATTCTCTTCTGTCTCCTCTCTCAGTCTAGGCTGTCGTTCAGGAATGTGGCTCTTCTGGTTGGGAGGATTTCCCTGCTGAGTACGTATTTAATAATTAAATACATTCAAAGCATACAATATAAACAATAGGTCCAATTTTTGCTTTGGAAAAGGTCTCACTATGTTGTTGTTGTTGTTGCCAAAATTAGCTTGTGATTTCCTTGGAGAGAGACTGGCCGGGGCCCTCGGACTGAAAGCAGCCAAATACCAGTACGCCATCGACCAACATCACCGAGACCACAAGGTAGAGTCAGATTAAAGAACAACATACTTTCCTAACAAATTTACTTTGCCACTTTTGGAAAAAACACTGAAGGCCGAAACACCTTTTTAATGCACTGCTCGGTTTTTGGATCCATAACATGTGGAACAAGTGGAAAGAAAATCCAAAATACACATTTAGGTGTTCATTTTAACAACCTATTTGTGTCATTTCACATTTCAATGAACTCACCAAAAAGCTATAGATAAATAGCATATTATAACATCACATTTCAGAAGAACTTGTACTACAACAAATAATTAAGATAAAACAGACCTGACGTCTATGAGTTCAACTTTTTTCCCCTCTTTACAGCGATTTTATAAAAATGAGTTTTTCCTCATACTCACTTACAAACACTACACTAATATTTGATATTCCTTTCTATTTAGCCTTTACCAAATATTGTCGTTTTGATATTGCAAAAGTCACTATTGTGATTTCGATAAAAGTCTGATTAATTGTGCAGCACTATTATAAACTTCTTGTACAGTAACACTGTAGTTTTTCAGGGCAGGACATGTGTGTTAATATTACACTGACAGGCCTATGGATGGTTATTTCTCTGTTTCTCACCCACTGCTCTTCTTCCTGTATCTCACTCACAGACAAAAAGCAGCGGGGCGTCAGAGGACCTGATGGAGGGAGGGGGGGAGAAGATCTGCCTCTCCACAGGACCGGAGGGGAGTTATTATGGAGCTGCGGGAGAGGAGCGATGCCCGGCTGGTTCTCAGGAGAGATGTGATCAGAAACAAGAGGACACGAGAGAAGGGTGTTACAACAGAGCATATCAAGCAGAGGAGCTTCAACTGAAATAAAACTAAGAAGGGAAAAGCAGAGGGATGATTTGATGTGAAAGCCTTTGTTTAGAGTGCACTGTGTATCAACTAATATAGCCCATAATATAGTATGGACCGCAGACAGATTTTGTAATGTTATAACAAAAACATATGTGAAAAAATAACGTGGTGCAAGCTTTCAATTTTGTTATGTAATAACCAAAAAATAATTAGTTGGTATACCAAAGAGAACGTTTTTAAATGTACTTTGTTACGTTCCACCACTGGCTATTTACAACAAGTGGATAGAAAACATCTAAAATACACATTTTGTTGCTGATTTTATTAAGATTGCCATTTTTGTAAGTATTGTCCTTTTGTGTTTAAGTGTTATACTCAGGGGGTTTGTCTTGTAAATACCCAAAATAATTTGACAACCTTATTTTTAAGGCACAACAGCTGGTATACCAAAGTGAAACCCAATGCTACGGTGGAAGAAGTACTTCCTTTTTTCCTGAAGTAAAATTAGCAATACTAAATTGTAAACATTAAAGTAAAATTCCTGCATTCTACTCTTGATTGAGTAAAATGTCATAAGTATTAGCATCAGCGTATACTTAAAGTACCACAAGTAAAAGTACTTATTGTGCTTAATAGCCCCTTTCAGAATCATGTAATAAATGACTGTCAGAGATGCACTAATGTGTTCATCACAGCTAGTAAATGTGGAGCAAAACTTAATAACATGATATACTGCTGCTGGATAACATATCATAGTTTATTTACATTTTGAGAGAGCTAACATTCGAAATAAAGTAACTTAGGCGGTCAGATGAATGTACTGGAGTGGAAGTATGAAGTAGCATATCATAAAAATACTGAAGTTAAGTACTTGAGTAAAGTTACACAGCTGTGATGGACTAATTGTCTTTTATTTTTAAACAGAAGGAGGTTCCCCGATCTCTCTCCACTCATTTTTTGTCAGTTTTCTGCTATTTGTCTATTGAATAATAAAAGAAAAGAAAACTAATCAGTGGCTAGCCAGCTCAGTGTGAGTAAACCCTTTAAGGTCTCTTCAATTTGATTTCGTTTTAGAAAACGTTTATGACCTTTACATATCCACAAACACTTAGCGTGTTAAAGGTGACAAAAATAAAACATCCGACGAGGATGGGATTCGAACCCACGCGTGCAGAGCACAATGGATTAGCAGTCCATCGCCTTAACCACTCGGCCACCTCGTCCGCGGTGCACTACTCCTGTCACGTGGGCTATAAAAACCAATCCAATCACCCATCTATCGGTATGTTAATCATTCTTTTTTCACTTTTACTCGTATTCATGGAGTCATTAATAATAATCTTAGTTAACCTAGCTATGGCAAAGCCGTAGCTTGCTAACATGCTACTAAGCTGTGCTAATGTGCTACATTTTCTAAAGTGTGGAGCAAATGTCTCACTCTTTTATCCTTAACCAAGCACAACATACCTGTCCGGTTACATCGAAGAACGTTGGTATTGCGAGGTGAATAGAGCATAATCTTAAATATTCTGAAACACTGCAAACAAACCTCTACTTTAAATTCAAATGTAGCGTTGGCTAAGCTACCGTGTAAATGTTTACAAAGCACAATCGTTATAGAAATATCTAATGTATGGGCATAGATATGTCTCATAATTATTTGTGTGAACATAACAATTATTTGTGTGTAAATATGTGATTTGGAAATGTAAAACACAATCCACAAATGCATTTAAAAGATTTGCAAACTCACAAATAAATTTGCAAATGTAAAACGGATCTGCAAATACGCTAAATATGTTCACAAATAAAAAACAGATCTGTGAATATCTCTTTAACATTTACAACTTTCGATCAGGCATTTGTGAATCCATTTTGTATTTGTCGACCAAAAATGCGCTTGTGGATCTCAACTCTCTGCTCGTGGATCTCAAATTTCTGCTTGTGGATCGTCTTTTTACACACACGGAATTTTGAGACAAACTTTCCTCTGGTCTCAGCTAAAATCTACTCGTGTAACTCGGTTATTTTCGGAAACCACGTGATGGCCTGCTGATGACGACATTTCCGCATGATTTCAAAGTAAGAGCATGATGGCTTGTTTAATGCTCTGTTTTTTTATTATAATGAACAGCGAAACGTTAGATGCATTCTTCATCACCATCATCATCATGTTATGGTGATACAGTTAGTTTGTGTTAGTTTATTGGTTCAATACAGCATATATCGAGCACTTTCGTAGGCATTGATGTTGAAGTACAGGCTACGCCACTTCGGGTCCCGGGGGAGCAGCTGGCAGCGAAGCAGCCCAGAGGAAACTCTTTCTTTCTTCATCATGTCCTTTCTACTGTATATGCATATATTCCTGTCTATTGCTTTCATTTGTATTTCATGTTATTATGTTTATACTTGTTTCCACACATTTCACAATTTGGGATGAATGAAGTATCTATCTATATATGATATCTATCTATCTATCCATCTATTTATCTGCCTGTCTGTCTGTCTGTCTGTCTGTCTGTCTGTCTGTCTGTCTGTCTGTCGATCTATCTATCGACGAAGCGTTCTAAGCCCCGAGGGTACTACCGCCATCTACTGGCTGCAGTGTTTTTGTGTTATGCATTATTGCATGAGTAAAACTAGAACACTCAGTAGCTATAACCTATCAGCATTTGGTTAAATCAGATGAAAGAATATAATTACTTATATTTATATTGACTGTGCGTGGGCCTGGCAGTGGCAGATTCATTTCAGGCAAAAGTGTGCACAATCAACGGTAGGGCATGTATTTTAATTGTTTGAATAATTTATATGGTTATAAAATATAACATCGAAACACTGACGCAAAGAACACGTATTTAGAATGTGTAAGTAAGTTTACTTGACTACAGTCGAGTTCTGTATCCTACATAATAAAATATGACAATCGTGAATTTCTTTGTCAATTACTTTTATCAAATGAATATCCCACATTTGTTTTAAGCACTTTCAAATTATATGTTAGAAACAAATATTATAGGATTGATATAATATTATGTACAATGTATAAAGTCCTGTACTCTGCAGGTGCAGATAGATAGATAGATAGATAGATAGATAGATAGATAGATAGATAGTAGACAGACAGACAGACAGACAGATAAATAGATGGATATGATAGACAGATATGATAGACAGATAGATAGATATAGACAGACAGATAGATAGATAGATAGATAGATAGATAGATAGATAGATAGATAGATAGATAGATAGATAGATAGATAGATAGATAGATAGATAGATAGATATCATAGATAGATACTTCATTCATCCCAAATTGTGAAATGTGTGGAAACAAGTATAAACATAATAACATGAAACACAAATGAAAGCAATAGACAGGAATATATGCATATAGAAAGGACACGATGAATATTATAACATTTAATGTAGCCTTACTATGAAGGCTGACCTAAATACGGTGCTTTTCTACAGATTACTTTATTACTGCACTGGTAAGGTAAAATTAGGCCGATTAATAAAATGTGAAGTGCTTTGTAACTTTGACTGAATACACAAAAAACAATGAAGAAAGAGTTTTCTCTGGGCTGCTTCGCTGCCAGCTGCTCCCACGGGACCCGAAGTGGCGTAGTCTGTACCAGCCGCGGCGTTATGGGTGGGCCTACTGGGCCTAGGCCCACCCACTCTGTCACTGGGCCCACCCATTCATTGATCAAAAATGACTGGGCGAAAATATAGTTTCCAACATTTTTAATTTTGATTATCAAAACTAACGATTACATAATAAAATAAGAGCAAACATGTGTTTCCCTTTAAAAAAACTTAGAAAATTAAAAGCAACATGAATGAATGTAATCGGGCAACGTAAAATGTGAATTTGGACCGAACTCATAGTGGAAGCGCGGGAGCAAACACATCGTAGAACGTCTCGCGGGCGCGCGCAGATGGAGGACAGTGGACTGGACAGACACAAAAAATATACCGCACTCACTAACGATGTCACAACAATCGATGTTCAGGTTTTCATTTTAAAGAGTAAGAAGAGTCATCCTCACAGCAGGTGCCGCCTTAGAGAGACGAGAGTGTGTTTAATGTTGTGCCCCGCTGAGCTCAGTCCCTCTGCGGGACGTAGCACCCGTTGCAGGTCAACAGAAAATAGCATCCCAGTGCCGGACCTCTCAGCCATAGATGACCCGGCGGCTACACAGCCAAAGCTCATAAAGTACCCTCAGACACTTTTCGGACAAAAGAAAAGGAGCTCTGCTGCCCACTGGTATGACAAGAACACATTATTGGAGTATAGCATTAGCAAGGACAGTGTGTTTTGTAAAATGTGCCGGCATTTTAGTGAGAGGCGGGGCCGGCGGAGAAGATACATTCAGTCGCCATGGTTACAGGGACTGGAAACATATCGACTATGCTCTCAGTAAACACGAATGCAGCGCAGCTCATGCAATAGCTATGGAGAGAAATACAAACTACAGACAGTGCGAGAAGTCTGACCATGGAACCATCCTCCATCAGCTACTCAACCCAGAGGGCCGACAGGGAGAGATCATTGAGAAAAATCGGGAACACGTAAAGTTTTACCGGACATAATTGTCACGTGTGCAAAGCAAGAGATTCCTCATTTCATATTGAGACTAAATATCTAGGGAAATGATTAAGAAACGTAGAGCTAAAATGTGGTGCCATTTGCAACTACCAGAGCGCACCCAGACGCGGCAGGCATTCTCCAGCCCAAATCAGCAAAGCTTATGAGTGTGAAGCAACAGTATCTGCTGCCCAGCTGCTTTAGTATGAAACGTATACTTCAGCTCATGAAAGCTCTGCAGTATCAGAAGGAAGTAGCCTAATGATAAATCTGCAGCCTCTGAAAAGTGTCGCGTCAGAGAACCAGTGCCTTTTACGCACGGCCGCTCACTTCGCTAGATCCGCTAAAGGACAGCAGGCTGCGGTCTAACCACACAGACACACATCAGGTGCTCGGTCATTATTCCATATTCTGCCGTTGTATGCTCTTTGTTTCTAAACGTATCAATGTATTGTGAACCAAAACTAAATAACATGCAGTATAACATTTATTTTTCACTCATTGCAGCGTGCCGCTTAATCATTTAAATAATATTTAAGCTTCTCATAAGTGAAAATGTTTAAAAGAGAAGGGTTTTGAAAAAGTGTCTTTACTATAGGAAATATGCATTACACAGTTGCCTACAATGATATGCAGGCATTTATTTTTATTACATTTTTGTTAACGAGAAACATCTATTAGAACAGGCCCAGCCGAAATTACATTGGCCCACCCACAATTGAAATCCTGGCGCCGCGGCTGGTCTGTACTTCAACATCAATGCCTACGAAAGTGCTCGATATATGCTGTATTGAACCAATAAACTAACACAAACTAACTGTATCACCATAACATGATGATGATGATGATGATGGTGAAAAAGAATGCATCTAACGTTTCGCTGTTCATTATAATAAAAAAACAGAGCATTAAACAAGCCATCATGCTCTTACTTTTAAATCATGCGGAA